GTCCCCGGGCAGCCATCTGGACGCGGCGTCTGGACTCACCCGCACGCTGCAGCGCTGGGCCCTGGGAAGACCATCCGGGCAGAAACGGCGACCCCAGTAAGGGAAAGTCTGTGCAGCCATCACGGCACAACAGTAGTGGCTTTTCTGTCTCTTTTAAAAACTATGAAGGATTGTTCTTTCTTTCCGCCCGTACCAGTGACTAGGAGTGTGGCCTAGAACCAGTGACTCCCAGCTAGGGACACTTTTACCGCAGGGCGGATGTCTGGCAATACCAAGAGACCTCTGTTTTTCACATTACATCCCGAGATCTTGTTTTTCTTATAGGTAAATGTGTCGGTTTCGACCGCCTTTACCCATTTCCCCCACCCCTGCCTCTGGCAACCACCGATGTGTCCTGTGGCTGGGAGCTCCACTTTTGCAGATTCCACGTGTAAGCGCGATCGTACAATACTGTCTTTCTTTGCCTGCCTTATCTCCTCGGCACGATGCCCTCAAAGCTCATCTATGTTGTAGCAAACGGCAGGATTTCCTTCTTTCTTTAATGGCTGAATTATACTCCGTAAATATACCACAGTGTCTTAATCTATCTACAGATGGGCGCGTAATTTGTGTCCGTGTCTTGGCTGTTGTGAGCGTGGGGGCCCAGACACTTCTTTGAGATAGCACTGTTGTTTCCTTTGGGTCTATACCCAGAAGTGGGATTGCCAGATCCCGTGGTGGTTGTCGTTTAAGTTTTATTTGAGGAGTGGGCAGAGGTTCCCATCCTCCTTTAGAATATTGCCCACAGGCCTCCCCGATCTGACCCCTCACCCCACATGTCTCCCCGTGCCCTCGGGGCTCCAGCCTGCACCCCCAGTAGCTCCTCCAACAACCCCCACCACCTCCCGGGGCAGTGGGTGCCTGCACCACCCTGCACCCAGGTGTCTGTAGGCCACTTTTCCTCACCGCGCCCCACCACCACCGCTGCTGGGTCCCCTAACCCCGCGTCTCTCTGCTGGGACTTTCCCTCCCCCCTAAAGTGGCACAGCAGAGTGTTTGTCCCTTACCCCGCTTCATTCGCTGCCTTTCTACGGGTCAGTAGTTCAGGTGAACCTTCCTGTTGTTTGAGACATTTGATGTGCTTGAAGTGTACTTTTGATGCTTTTTTAATGTTTATTTATTTAATTCTGAGTGCGAGAGAGAGCAGGGGAGGGGCAGAGAGAGAGGGGGACAGAGGATACGAAGCGGCCTCCACACTGACAGCAGAGAGCCCGATGCGGGGCTCAAACTCTCAAACCACGAGATCATGACCTGAGCTGAAGTCAGAAGCTTAACCGACTGAGCCACCCAGGCGCCCCTAAATGCACTTTTTTAATTAAACGCAGCCTGGACCATTTCCCTTAGTCAGCTCTGTAGTGACTCAGGGGTTCCGTGGGGAGACCGGCTGGGATGAGGTGCTGTTTCGGTGCTCAGGCGCTGTATTCCCGTGACCACAAAGAGGCCTCCGTCTAAAGCGGCTGCCTCTGGGGCTGCACGGTGCTGACCTCTGCTGACCTCTGCAGAAAGCCTCTTCTGAGTCAACACCTTCACCTCAACCACCTAAAACCAGCCTGGGAGATGTTCAGTTGAAAACACCACAGTAAAGTCTCCATTAAGGAAATGCTTGGGGGAAGGCGTGTTCTAGTTATTTAATTTCTGGTTAACTTAGCACAACCAGAGTTTTTATCAGGAGTAAACGGCGTTACGTGAAAAGAAGATGATGGATTCGGGGTGGAGCCTTTCCTTTATTTAAATCCTTCCTCTGCCATTTGAACTCCTATGACTTTGGGCCTCAGTTTCCTCGTCTGTAACCGGGGGGCAGTAGTAGGTATTTTCTGGTGTCGTTAGATCAAATGGGGAGACGTTTATAAGTCATTTAGTGATGTGACGGTGGCTACCTGGGAACGTGGGGAAGCACGGTTACCTTCCCTCTTCCCTTGTTTTCATTCTTCTCGGAAGTAATTCTTAATACGTCGGCATATGGCATTTAAAAATCCCGTGTTCATGTAGAGCATTGAAGTAATATTCCCAGTGGAGGCAGCAGTGACTCATTATTGTGGAATATTTATGACAAAATAACCGATCATTAGGGATTTCGGGTGCTTTTATATCTCAGATACTATGGAATAGCAGAAATAAAGAGGTCGCTTTCTTCTTTTTAAAATGCTGGATATTCTTCTTTGCATCTTTTTTTCTAAAAATTGAATGTGGGGAAAAAATTGGCAGATAAGTCTGCGTGACAGGCTAAAAATGGCAGATAAAGCACCTCTAATACTCCTGTCACTTAAAAAAGAGGCAAAAACCTTCTAAAAAGCAGCAAAAGACTGAGACTGAGGTGCACAATGACAGAAGAAAAGAGACAGGACGATTCGCAGGCGGGAGATGAAGCCAGCTCCCGAGAGCAGCTGTCAGATGTTAGGACGGTGGCCACAGGGGACGAGGTGTCGGCCTGGGGACACCTGGCGCTGGACCACGGAGGGGCTAATTGTGACACGGAGCTGGAGACAGAGGGAGGAGTTAACAGTTTGTCTCTGGAACAATCTACTTCGTACCCCGCTGCTGTATGCAGAATTCTCAGCAGCCAAACAGGACAGACATGAACACAGGGTGAGGTTCCCCTCCACAGAGGACACATGGGACACATGGCTCAGGGGAGAGACCTCTGCTCTCTGGGATTCAGGGTGTCTTCAGACAGTTCGAACCTGCCACACCAGATGGTCACACAGGGGCAGGGGCGTTTCTGCGCCTTGTTAATCCACGTGCCCAGTCAGATTCGATTGAAATTTAAAGACTTTTTTTTAAAAGAAGAGAGCGCTCTAGCATTGTGTTCTGTCACGAGCACCGTCCCTGCTGTTACTGCGAGATCTGGATTCTGGGCACTCCAGTAAAATTTTGCCGAAAAGTGGTCATGGCAGCTTCAACAGCAAATGCATAGCGTTACAGCCAGAAGACCGTGCTGTGATCTTGCTGGTGGTGGTTCCCGTAAGGCAAGGACACCTCGCCGGCGGCCCCGTGCGTGTGTCACGGATGCTCCGTTTAGGAACGACCGCATTTCAGTCTGCAGCTCTCACACCCACTCCTTCAGCCAGTGTCCTGTGCCCCGAATCAAATCCAAGCAGTCACTGGACTTGTGCCGCCAACCCCGCAGGGTGAGGGCCTCCCAAAACAGGTGCGTCGGCGTGCGCGAAGGGGTTTTGTGGAAATGGTCACCGCCCCACTTGAAGCACTCTTAGGGGCTGCTCCATGTTTCGGTGTGGCCGCGACCCGTGACAGAGTGGCACTGCTCTGTCCCACCCGCCCCCGGGGAGCTGTGAGCTCGGCCTTGGTGCTTCTCTGTCCCATGCACGGTCTCCCGGGGTCAGCGTGCAGTCGAGGCCGCCCGGCCTGGGGCCCGTCCTCCCCGGGCGGTGACAAGTGCTGAGCACGGGTTTCCTCTTCTGCCGCCGCGGCGGAGCGGTGATTAATGCCAAATTAGCACCTTGCTCGGTGACCTTTCAGCATTCACTGCTGCCCTTCTTCACTTCACATAACTATTTGCAAATATTAGCTTCTCAGGTCATTTCTCCTCATCAGCAACTTTCACAGATGACAGGCAGGTTGTTAATCTGATTGGCAGTCGGCTCCTGTCCTTTGCCCCATCACGAAAGTGTCTGTACTCCGGCGTGTCGTCAGAAATCTGGTAACCAGCCCAACGGTGTCTCTGCAGTTAGAAGCGGAGAGCCTCAGAAGGTGGCTGTCAGAGAGGCCCTGCGGGGCTCACTTGGGAGGCAAAGAGGCCGGGAAAGGAGAAGGCTGCTTCAGCCTTCCAGGAGGCCCCGGGACACTGGGAAGCCGGCCTCCATCAATGTCATCGGTGTTCGGTTAAAAAATTAATTCGTTGGCCCTGCCTGCATCAAGTTTTGTTTTTAATTGACACGAACCTTTCATTCAAAACTCACATACCGCTTAAGCAATGAAACCAGGACGCAGAGCTGTGGAGAATTAGTGGTGATACAAAGCCAGTCCTCGGTTTCCCTACCGTTCTCTCGGTGGCGCCAGCCCGCTGCGGTCGGGCGGCCAAGGACTGGTCCCTGCCAGAGCCCCCCACGCTCGCCGGGCTCTCCAGCGTCAAGCGCTAGATGAAACATTTCACATTCGCAGAACTTATATTTATTTTTATTTCCGGCCTCTGCCGTCTCCACCCTCTATGGAAATTCCTGTTCTAGAGATGTTTGATCCGTCATCATTTCCCCCAAATAAACAGCGGTAAAGTGTACTGTGGGTAGTTTGATTTCGATACTACATGGATTTTAGAGAAAAGTGGCAAAAACGTGTGCTGGTTTTTTTTCTCCCTTGTCACCAGAAGTAGGAGCTAAATTATTTATAGTTTGATACTCGCAAAACAGAGGTGGATTCAGGATATTTACTTCTCCGAGAAGAAAAAGGGATTGAAAGTACACGGGCAGAACAGAACCCTTTGTTGATTGAATGTTTGCTCCGGGGAGTCCCCTTTGGGCCCAAGTACGAGAGCCGGCCGCTTTCGAGCACCACGCGTGCCCAGCAGAGTGCCCGACACGCGGAATATTTGTGGAACTGAGCAGATTTGAAAGTAGTGGGGGGACTAGGTAACTCAATAAGCAAAGTCTTAAGTCAATAAAACAATAAAGTCAGCAAGCAGTTCAGGAAACGTTCCTCACTCCACAGTCCTTGGCCACGTGACGTCCAGGCGGCGTTGTGACGCTCTGGTTCCCTCGATTTCTTGCCAGAACGTACCCTTACCGGCCGTGGGTTTCACACCAGGCTCCCACGGCCGGATGAAGGCCAGTGACAGTGTCCTCGCCCAAGGGCTTCTCACGGGGAGGGCGGGGGGAGGTTGGGGTAGGGTCCTGACGCCCGGGCGTCCCGTCTCCGTAGCTCAACAAGACCCCCTGTTCGTTCTGTTCCGGTCTCCACGTCCTCCCTACTTCGGAGGGTCCCATGGTCTTCTGCTTTCTCTGCCACAGGAGATGCTGGCGCCCCCGAAGCCGTGGCTCCCGTCATTGTGATCCCCCCAGGCAACAGAAGTGTGGTGGCCGGGTCCAGCGAGATCACCTTGGAATGCGTGGCCAACGCCAGGTATGCTGCCGGTCGCCCCCTGGGCCTACAGAGCCCGTATAACTGCCGTGAGGTTCATCTGGAGTGGAAGGACTCACCACACGCGTGCTCTGCCCTTGTAGCAACGGTGGCCTTGTGTGTCCAGCGGGGCTATGAGCACAGCGGGCCGGGAAGACAGGGAGCCGAATTCCCAAGCCTGGTGCCGCAGTACTTACGTTGACGGTGATGTTCGTGCCGGAAAGCACCGCTTTTCAGTTTAGCCGTGGGGGACTGTGGAGGGCCTCCTCCTCAGAGACTCCAGACGAGGGTGAGCCAGGAGTGAAATCCCACGGGGGCACTGGAAAGAGTTAATCCCTCCTCTCCTCCACAGTCCGAGGTGCTCTCGGCCTGGCTCGTGGTGGCTCCAGAATCGAGTTCCCGTGATCATGACTCCCGTGTAGCCGTGTCCCCTAGTAGTATTTATTTTAAACATTCTTTTCCCGAGCACATGGAGTCGTTAGCACTTATGGTCCATTGCTGCTGCAATTATCTCTCCTTGTTCAGTAGCCCTTGAGCGCAGTGTATTGTTGACGCATGCCGCAAGGGAGCACAGTTGTGTCTGGATTGATTTTTAAATGTCCACTGTTCAGCCCGCCATGGTTCCTGGTAGAATTAGCTTTGTCAGGCTTGTGCTGAATGCCTCAAATTATTGTTATTGCCATCTGCGTGACTCACAATTATCGTCACTAATGCTCTCCCAGGCCTGTTGAGTTGCTGAGCGTGAACTGGAAGAGAAACGGGGTGAGGGTCACCAGTGGGCTCCACGGCTTTGGGAGACGTCTCACCATCAGCAACCCGACGTCCGCGGACACCGGGGCGTACGTCTGCGAGGCGACACTGACGGGAAGCACTTTCGAACCAGCCACGGCGAAAGCCTTTCTTTCTATCATAGGTAATGCTCAGCCGCCTAGCATCACCCGCAGCCTCAGGTGGCGGTCCCACACGGGCACGTCCTGGGAAACGGCACAGCGACACCCGCGTTTCACCAGCTTTCTTTCTCGCTCAGGAGATGAGGGCGCAGTTAGATGAGCTTCCAAAGTCACCCCGCTCTTCCTTTTCTGAGAACATAAACCCCTTAAATCCAAAGCGCTGATATTCTGAGTACCTACTAGAAGTGGTATTCTGGATACTTCCGATCATAAAGCATGGGGGATGGGGGGTGAGGTCCTTGTGGCGTAGATCTTGGGCCGACCCCTGCACCACTGAGCTCCTCTGTTACTCTCACCGGGCTCTCATGATCAGTTTTCAGAGATCTTTTGACCCAGAAAAAGAAATTTCTGGATAATACCTTTCATGAGGTTAAAAAGTGGGAACAGAGCCGCTCCCCCTAGAACGTGCGCCAAGTGTCATTCCTGAGCCGAGGAGAGCGAGAAGTTAAAATGAGGCACACGGGAGTCGCGGCGCACGCTGGCGAGCATCGGTGCCCGGGAGGCGTGCCTGGTGTGGTGGCAGAGGGAGGCCTCGCTTTATTTTCGGATTGCGAGAAGATGACACTGAATTGTGAGGCAGGTCCTTTATTTCTTACGTTCTTCAGTTCCTGTAACACTTTCTGGTCTTCTTAGTGGCTGCGGTCACTGTCGTCGTGACCTGTGCAGCCGAGTGGTAGCCGCAACAGGTAAGAGGTCCCCTGGAGGCCGACCCCAGGAAGGGGGATCTCCACCTCCTCTCTCCTCTTCGGGAAGAAGAGAGCCAGAAACGAGAAGGGTCAAATCCGCAGAGAGCCCCGGGCAGGGTAGTGGCTCCTCACGTGACATATTTTGCCGTTTACCACTTCACAAATTAAGAAAAAATAAAAGCTCCTATTTTCATATGACATTGGCCAGAGTACGGAGAAATCCTGCAGAAAAGGCCGTTTGCCCAGAGTGCATCACGTTCCTTTAAGTCATTGTGAAAAGGCTCCACGGCCCGTGAACGACTCTGTCAAATACACGCCAACCTGTCAGCCCCTCCGAGAGGAGCACAGAGATTTTTAAAGTATCGGGAAAGCAGGCCTGGAGACCCACACCGCTGCCGACTCCATGCTGGGGGCTGTGCTGGCTCTCTGGCTGGCTCGCTCTCTGTGCCTTCGAGGCAGAAACACCACAGCCCCCTTCCCTGCGAGGACTCCCCACGAGGGTCTGTGTGTAGCTGTATGAGCACAGACAGCACAGAGCGAACCAAAATTAAAATTTGTGGCATGGAAGTCTCCAGGAGACAGCCCTAGATTGTGTTAAAACATTTTAAGGTAATTTAAACAGGAGAAGAAATTTATCTTCCTAGAAACCAGAATGTTTGTTTTCATCATAATTCCTTTTAAAAATATTCAAGTCTATCATGTGAACTTTGGTTTTGCATTTACAGCTGAATCCCGAAGCAGATTGCTCTGTATTCTCTAGAGTTCCCGTCTCTCTGCATGTCCTGGCTTTTAAAGGTATACAGTCTGCGAATGTAAATGTGGATTTACATCCCCTTTTATTCACAAGAATTTGCTGTGACAGGTAGGATTTTGTGGTTGAATCACCCTGGAAAAGCCCTGAAGAGTGCCTCTGTCAATCCGGAGCGGCTTGGGAGATCACGGAGGGAGGGTCCCCAGGCCCCGTGGGGCCAGGCAGGGAGGTGTCCCTGCACAGGCAGCTAGAAGAAGGCGGGAGCGCACTGGCTTTCGGTCACTTTGATCGCGCACTGACGAGACAAGACAGACCAGTGGCCGCTCTCTACTCCACCTGTCAGCCTCTCTGGCGTGTCGCTCGATCTCTGAGGTTTAAAGGGAATCGCGGGGGTCTGGCTGCGGGCAGTGTCATACCTGCCGGAGGTCCTGGTGACTCTGCGTGACCAGGAACGCCGGCCTCCTGGGTCCATGTTCCCTTCCACAGCCTCCTCCATGGCCTCCCCCGTCTCCCTGCCACTCACACCCCATGTGGTGAGGCAGACGCCTCCGTCTGCCGGCATGTCCCCTCGCCCTCCCTGCCTTGACCGCCAGTGCCGCCATTCCTTCCTGTGGCCTTCCCTGGCCCCCGAGTCCAGGCGCCCACTGCACAGGGCCAGGCACGTACCACGCGGAGCCCAGGCACTCACCACGTGGCAGGTTGGAACACAGATCTGACGGACCGCCGGGTGGACAGTGGAGCTCCCTCTCTGTTGTGATGGGGATATCATTTGGAGGTCGTGCTCCATCTTGGCTTTTCCCAGTAGATGAGCCGACTTGGTCACGTGCTCATTTCAGCTGCCCTGCCTCTCCCGGTGGCGTTTCTGTCACCTCCCAGGTAAACCGTGGCCGTGAACCTCATCTCCCTGTCTGTGTCTCTGGGAGGCCAACCCAGCACTCTGCGGCCACAGACTCTGAGCACCTGTGCCTACCTGTGCTTGGGATGAATGCCTTTCCGCCCCAGGCCCCACCTCACCTGGTGGTGAGTCTGTGTGTCCTTCGAGACCCCTCCCCGAGGTCACCACCTGCTCCAGAGCGTGCGTGCCGGCATCCTGGTGCGTCAGCCGGGCACTGCATGTAACAGGGCGGGCTGTGGGGACAGGCCTGGGCTCACACTCTCCCAGCACCACCCACTGGCTCGAACGAGGCCCCCCGCCTCTGTTGGTCTCAGTTTCCGCTTCTCTAAAACGTAGACAAGGTAGGAGATCGTACCGCTTCCTACCGTGAGCAGTAAAAGGCAGTGCTGGTCCCAGAAGCACTAAAACGGTGGCTTTGTTAGTTGGTGGTGCAACTCTGTCACAGCACGGGGGACGCTGGTTGTTTACCAGCAGCTGGTCACATGGCACGTTTCCCACAAGTAGTGTTTCTGAAAGCAGGATGTGTCTCACAGTCCACAGAAGCGTTTTCTCCTCTCTTGGTGGTAAATAAGACAGCGATGCCTCTTACCCACGACTGCAACGTCTCAGACGCGGTGAGGCATATTGCGCCCATCTTCCGGTCCCGACTGGCAGACCGACGCTTTCTCCTGTCACCACCATTCACACGCTTGCCCTGCTCCAGTGAGCGCCGGCGTCCTGGCACGCCGGCTCCCGCTGTGCTCACACACGGGTTGGGGAGGGTGGGTGCAGTAGAGAGCGGTCTCTGTGTTGCACACGCAGATCATCCAGGAACTCCAATACCATAACCGTCATCAGAATCACAAATCACACATAACGTCTCTTGGCTGATAACAGTGCCACAATCGCGAAGTTCTACCTGTACCGAACTGACAGCGAGCCCCTCCCAAATGTCCGAACCCCAACATAAAATCCTCCCTTCCCCCCTCCTCCCTTCCTCCCGTCTTCCTCTGCCTTCCTTTCCTCCACTTCCATGTCTCGAGTCTCCATCTCTGACACCGTACGGAGCACCGGGGGCAGAGGGGTGGAGAGGTAGCCATGCTCCCAGGCATCAGGGATTCTCGTGCAGGAGGCAGCCCCTTCACGAGGCTGTCACAACTCAGCACAGTGAGTGCGAGGCTGTGGGGAGGGGCGCCCTGACCCTCACACGGCAGGTGCAGGGGGCAGAGGCTGTCTTGGCATGTGGCCAGAACAGAATCCTGCAGTGCGCCGAACCCTCTCGCGCTGCCCTATAACTCATTCACGTTGGTTTAGGATAAACTCAAGGTGTCTCCTTTCTGGTTTTCCAGATGGCCTGTGTTAGAAGCACCCACGTTAATCATTGGTGCCCCGTCACAGCTAGAACTTCTCTGTAGCACAGGTCATAGCCGAATGAAGCTCAGAAAACAGAGCTGTTACAGAGCTGTTTCTAAAGCGAGGAAAATTCATACAAGGCGAACAACCAGCGGTGTTTGGGTCGTTTGCCCTGTGTGCGGGATTGGCGGGCTGGCCGTGATGCCCCAGGAGGGAGCAGGGAGGGTGTTCCTCTGGGGACCGTCTGTCCCCCAGGGCTCCCAGGCCGTCTCTGCCCTCCTGCCCACATGCCAGCCGTTCGTGGAGGGCACAGCGTGTGCGAGCCCCTGGGCTGAAGCACTGGCGTGGGCCAAGCGTGAACAGGGAGGATTTGCCAAGATGAATAGGACACACCTGCTCCCCGAAGGGCTTCAAGGATTTAAGGTCTTTGGTAACCTCCAGTGTATCTCTCTCCAGCAGACAGTTTTTGCGTCTCCTCTGAGACCGTGCCGGGCGCTACCAAGACAGCGATGAGGAGGACGCCGTCCTTCTCCGCGGAAGCTCCAGTGTGGAGGGGGGACCCTGCCCGAGGAGGTTGGGGGCACTGTGCAGAAGGGTGCTAGGGCTGAGCTCACGACCAACACAGCGTTTGCCCACAGCTGCCTCCTGCATAGGAGCTGGAGCCCAGGGGCTGCTCAGGTCCCCTAGTCCCCGCGGGCAGGCTCAGCCGGTTTCTCTGCTGCTGGTGTCAGGAGGCCAGCGTCAAGGCTTTGAGTGGGCTGGGCTCTTTCCTGAGTGTTTTGGGAGAGGATCTACCTCCAGGCTCCCTTGGGGTGGGCAGAGTCTTGTGCGTGGGCTTGTGCGTGGCTTGTGAGACTGGAGTCCCCGCATCCTTCCTGGCTGTTGCTCGGGGTCACCGTTAGGCTCCAGGGCCCCTCCCCCTGGCCTGGGCCACCTTCTTCTCCACAGCCAGCAGCACAAGCCAGTTCATCTCCTCTGCCAACGGCAAGGAAGCCGCTGCTTTTAGGGGCCCCGGCGATGGGACTGGGCTCACCCGGCTAATCCAAGACCAGCTCTGTGCTCTAACGTCGACGGCCTTAATCACACCGGCTGAGGCCATCTTGCCATGTAGCCCTCGTGACATGTTCTCAGGTCCTGGTGACTAGGGGGTGGACACCTTGGGGCCATTCTTCCCACTGCAATGAACAGAGACACCAGGTGTGGACGATGGTACTAGAAGGGCACACCGTGGAGTGAGTTCCCCGGTACCTGGGGAAGGCTGTCTGGCCCTGGACACGTTGACCATTCATTTGTGTGGGTTTTTGTCATCAAAGTGCACTTCCTCTTGGATGAATCTCACGGGACTTGGGCCAAGTGAAAAAAACCAGCTCCAAAGGTCACATGCTGTGTGATTCTGTTCCTGTCACATTCTTGAAATGACAGAATTATACACGGAGAACAGAGGAGTGGTTGCCGGACGCGAGGGATGGGACGTTGGGTGGCCATGATCGTGAAAGGGCAGTGTGTGGGACCCTGGGGTAACGGACCCATTCTGCCTCTGACTGCGGATACAGAGGCCTGCACCCTGGTAACATCGTGTAGGGCTAAACCCTCACCCGCGCGTGCGTGCTCCCGCATACATGTACAAGCAA